TTGCATTGCCTGTGCGTTTTCACTTATCATGCGGGAAAGTTCTGATGGAAACCAGAGTTCTATCCGCCCTTGGTTAAATTTTTCAATTAAGTCTTTTATGATGTCATTGAGTGGCTGATAGATGTAGCTGCAAGGCCAAAGTTGATCAGCCAATGCACGCTTTCGAAAAAAAGGCCAAAGTTGATCAGATGGTATTTTGGTAGCTTTCCATTTCTTTATTCTCTCTTTTACTCTTTCATGCTGGAGTCTGTTGCATGTCGCCAGATGATGATTTCTGTACTAGCACTTACTCTTAACCATATCAGATTTTCATTCATCATCTCGTGTTACTGAAAGTTTATATTTCAATTTCTTTGGAATTTTGCAGGAGGTTGACGAAGTGCAAGAAAATTTGGAGGATGATAAAGATTCTGAGCACAATTCTGATAGCCTTGATGGCCCTGACACATCTTCCTTTAGAGCATTCTTGATCTCGTTTTTGTCATCGTCGAGCTCTAATAACGATTCAATGGAAATAATTCCTGAGCAGAATGGAGACATGGGTTACCCTACTTTAACACCCATGGGGAAGGGAAGCAAGGGAAGAACAGGTCTGATAAGTAGGGGGAAGCATTCCATCGGAAAAATCATTAACAAGGCGGCAAGGATTGGTGGTTTCAAACAAACAACTGCAGAGCCTAAAATTGACAGGGAGGTAGTAACTCATACTGAACCAGATGCACCTGTATTGGAGCGCCAGGAACCAAAGGAAGTTGCTTCCTTCAGTAGTTTGCCAACTATGTCAGAACCATCTGTTCTTTTGTCAGAACTGATGCAATCAATTCTTTATGCCTCTCTCCCGGTTCTTGCCCAGGGAAGGAACTGGGTCTTGCTATACAGGTTTAAGATGTCTCCCATTCTGATATGTTCTAACTTTTGATCATGCGTGTTACTGTTATCTAATGTTTATGTTCATACTGTGCAGTACATGGAGGCATGGTATATCGTTATCTACTTTATATAGAAGGAGCATGCTTTGCCCTGGTTTCTCACTCTTGGTAACGTTACTGTTTCCTAAGTAGCTCGAATGTTATGGTTTTTCACTATTACTTAAGAAACGGCAGCCTATTTCACCTCCACAGTTGCTAACTGTTTCATATTTTTAAGCTATAGATCTTATTTAACTCCATAAGTTACTATATTGTTGATGATGTGGATTTTATGGGCACTCATAGCATCATCTGATATAATTTCAAAAAAAGTGCCATAGATTGCTTATTGCTACTTTTCCATTCTTCATCTTCTGATGTTATGTTACATTACAGGTTGTTGGGGATAAAGAAGGTACAATTTTTGGTGGTTTAGTTGAGGCCCCATTGCAGCCATCCAGTTCAAAGAAGTATCAGGTTTCGCCTCAATATTTTGATAAATTGTTTGTTAAAAAAAATCTTGTGCTGAATATTCTGCAAATTAATCTTGCAGGGGACCAATAATTCCTTCGTTTTCACTAATTTACACAATCACCCTGTCATATATCGACCGACAGGTAATTTTCAGTTTATCCATTTCATGGTTTTATGTGATAACATCAAAATATGGCAAAATCTCTATTTCATGTTATTTCAGCGCATTTAATTTAACAATTTACCAATGCCGCTGTGACTTTGTTGTGCATTCTGAGAACTGTTTTTCTTTGTGTAAGCTATTGAAAATCTACTTACTGCAGGCACAAATAACTATTTTACGGTGTTAGGGATTTTTTTACCCATGCACTTAGGTGTCAATCTAGTTTGAGGATTGAGTAACATTTAAAATATTTTAGGCCGTGTAATTTTAATTATGCAGAGGTTGGAAGTGATGTGAAGACCGGTTGTATCATCTTGATGTAATAGTCTTGTTTTCAATAAGCTTCCTTTATCTAAAAGTAAAAAACTTGCTGCAGGCGCAAATAACTATTTTACGGTGTGCTCCACTGACTATATGGCTCTAGGGGGAGGAGGTCATTTTGCACTTTATCTTGATGCAGACCTGTAATATCTCGCACCATCTACGACTGGTATACAAGTCATTGTTAATTTCCGCACAACTCACCTGTATTTTCTGCATTTCTCTTTGCAGCTTGACTGGTTCAAGTTCTAATTCAGAGACTTTTAACAACGGGTGTTTATCGCATTCTCCAGACTTCTCAGTGAAAGATGTTGAGGTATTTAAAACATTCGAGCATTGTGTATTTGTGTTCTGCGATTTTCTTCCTGGTGAACATAACTACATCCATATGATCAAGAAGCTTTCAATTTTAATCTATCAACGTAAATAATTCTGCAAGGACATAACGAGCCCCTTTTATGGCCGTCCACATGTTCTGCAAGTTTGGGAGAAAGGCCTTTATGAGCCCTTTTAATCTATTTAAGTACTTCAACTGTTCTTTTCTCGTTTAATGCAGCTTTGGGGCTTCGTCTACCCTTCCAAATACGAGGAGATGCTAACACTCTGTCGGACAGAGAAAACAGGAATCTGTCGATGGTGACCATCACATAGCCAGTTGAACATCCAAATAGACATGTCACGTCTGTACAGTTTAGTAGGCTTTGAGAGTTGCCAGCATTTTTGTGCGCAGGACCAGGTAGTACTGGAGTCTGGAGACTTAACTTTTTCTCAAGCGTCAAGCGAGTTTGCTCCGATTTGTAAATACTGTATGTACTTTTGTTACTGCCACATGGTGAAACATGGACGTTACTGGTTGTTCCAGTGTTGCGCATTTGAGCCTTTTTCCTGTGTCAAATTGAAAGATGCTCCGGACTTGCCACTAAACAGTTTAAACGCATCATGATGTCATGACATTTTTTTTTCTCCTATGCCATTCTGTCCATTAACCGTTTGGTTTTTACCGTTTGCTAACACTGACACGTGAGCCCGGCCAGCGAAAATGCCTAAAACGCCCTTCTCTCGTAACCCCATTCTCTACTTCTTTCTCTCCCTCTTCCTCTGGGCTGGGAACTGGCGGACTGGGAAGCCGAAGCGCGAGGCCGGGACATCGCCGCTTGGGTCGCAGAGCCGGAGCGCGGGGCCGGAGACACCGTCGCTGGGGGCACGGGGCCGGGACGCTCCTCTCCTTTGCCAAGGGCGGGGCGGACGCCAAGACGCCGACGCGCGCGTGGATGCCGTGGCCGACGCGGACGCCAAGACCGCCATCGCCGACAGGCCGGAGCTATTCCGGGACCTCGTGCGGATCCTCAGGGACGCCGCGTCGATGGTGCGGGCCGGGGCCATCCCGGCTGCTGCCTGTGCGGTGGGCGCGCCGTCGATGGAGTCGGTGGGCGCGACTTACGATGGCCGAGCTCCGACGAGCACCCGTCCGCGCCCGCCGCCGGACGCGTCCCGCGCCGTCGGCCTCGACACCTCCAGCGCCGCCTGGCCCTGCGCGCCCCGCCCCGCGAGCTCCGGCCGCCATGGCCGCACGGCCGCGTGCGCCCCTGGGCGCGCTCGCCGCACCTACGGCTGCGCGGTCGGGAGCAGCCTGGCCTGCAGCGGACGCCGCCGCTGCTGGCCGCGACGGCCTGCACAGCTGAGCCTCGCCGCCATGCCAAGCCGGGAGCCGACCCCGTCGTCCGCGACCTCGTCAAGCCGACGTTCGGGCCCGCGGCCACGCCACCTCGAGTCCGCCTCCCGCTCCACGCGCTCACGGCGTACCGCGTCAAGTGCTGCACGCGCGCCGGCGCGCTAGGCGACGGCCACGCCGCACACGCGGCCGTGATCAAGCTCGGCCTCGGCGCCGACGTGTGCACCGCCAACTCGCTCGCCTCGGCCTCGTTAGGGACGCCAGCGGCCAGGCCGCGCCTGCCCCGTGGCAGCGGCGGCGCCCCAGCCCCTTGCCGCGGCCCCAGCCCCTAGGATACCAGCCCCAGGCGACGGCGCCCCATCCCATGCCTCTCCAAGAAGTGCACGGTGAAGAAGAGAGGTGAGGGTATTTAAATCTTTTTCCAACGTAGATTTATACCATTACATGAAAAGGTGGACGTAACGGCTTGAGAGAGAGAAAAAAAAATGTCATGATATCAAGATGTATTTGAAATTTTTAGTGGCGCGTAGGTTGAGTATCTTTCGTAATGGCACGTAGAAAAGTTCTAGGCATTTTGAGGTAAACTGTCACTGGTGGATCAGGCTTTTGCCAGGACTCACGGAACAGGCGTCAACCTGTTCAAAGCCAGACATCTAGATCCGGAAGCAATCATTAAAACGTCCACCGATGAATGGTCCTCACTCAGAAGTCAGAACACTGCATAATCATCATTTTAGTAGAATTGAAGTGCAAAACTACAACGCCAAAATCCTGCAGTTAGTTGCCATTCCAAATGTGCTGGGACGTAGCATCAGATATTCAGATTATCACTCAGTAACCTAGTATAAACGAATGGAAGTCCTACAGCATTTCTGAGTTGGTCGCATGATCTGCATGGGTAAAACTGCAATTGCAAAGAATAATCACACGACCACAACTTCAAAAAGAGCACTGCAGCACTGCACCATATATCTCGTCCTCACGAAACAAGTGAAAACACAATTACACAAACGACAGCAACAGTCACCAAAGAGACTTTTATTGTCCGAAGTAACAAAACACCAGCTTCAACATCTGAGTGAACCCACCAGTAAAAAAAAAATACCTCATGTGGTTTCACAAGCTAGCAGAAAATCATTAAAGAGACTATTAAAATAGTGCGGCACTATTGTAGACTCCCTCTTCCACCATTCTGGTACCTCAGTCCTCATCAAGCAGCCTGGGAATAAAAACGGAAGCCACTTGACTCTGCGAGCAAACCCTCAAATGTCACAGGATGGTAAAGAACGGATAGGGGTTGGGGGTTTCTTTTTCTGCGATGGCAGGGTAGCTAATTAGCTATACATGAATGAAATATCTACAGCACTAAGTTGGAATTTGCCTACCATCATTTTATTACTTTCGTTCGATTGAAAAACTGTTGAAAATTGACCAACTATTTCCTATCATGATAGGAGGTTTCCTATAACTCGAAGTATGACGCCATGTACAGTCTTACTCCAATGTCCACCGCACAATCCTCACCACCAATTGCATGAAGAACCACAGGGATGTCACTCAGGTAATGTATCACCAAGGGCAGAACAGCTGGAGTGGTCTGAGGTTTCACTGCGTCGCCACTCAACAAAACAGACTTGGCAGTGCAGCCGCCAGCTTCTGTTGCTCCTGATTCCTCATCTTCTTCAGACAACTCTGAAGGGTTCACCACCATTGCGACTTCCTCAATTGGCCTGCACTTCATCTGAGTTCCCCTCCTTTGAGCAGGCTTGTTCCTGCATGCATCAAGCACTAACGTTGCAGTGGCTTCTAACCATTCAACTGATAAGCCCTCAACTTCATCATAATATATCCTTCGTTCCATCTGCATCATAAAATCACACTGAGGTGAGGAAGAAGAAAAATGAAACAAGTGCTCCTTTTATATGAGGGTTGGCAAAAAACCATACCGCAAGCTTGGGCACATAAACTGACATGAATCTGGGTCCAAGCCCCAGAACTCTAGCATTGCAGACCACAACCTGCAAAGATAAGAGTTAAAAACAGCAGAATTCAAAATAAAGCTCACGGGAAAACTTGCTTGAAAGCTGGAAATGGTGATGCCCCAATCACCTCTTTGTTCTTTATCAGAGCCCACATGTAGAGCTTCTGTCCAGCATCTTCTGTACGGCGACCAGCCCACTTTCTTTCATTACAGTGTTCAGCAATCTCCCCGAGATTTTCAGAGTAAGGAACCTTAAATTTCTTAGCTGCATCAGAAAGTGCTTTTTTTCCTTCTTCAGATTCAGCAGCATCCTTGCACAACTGGAGGCCTGTAAGACATCTATCCATCAATTCACAAGAGGCTTTGACTCCATTCCGGCCTGTGGAAGATTTCTTTTGCTTCATATACACTTGTTCAGCCTCAATCACTGCATTCAGAGTCCTGTGAACAATTATATCAGGATATCTTCGAAGTGGTGAAGTGAAGTGTGTATACAAAGGGACAGACAGCGCATAATGTGCCCAATCATCTTTCTTGCTTATCAGGTCCCCTGTGCAAAAGTATTCTGCTGACTGCATTTGCTTTGAAGCATAAAACATGAGAATATCAAACATAACAGGATCCTCTTGCAACTTTTCCTTTATTCTAGAGAGTGAAAGGTGGAGTTGACCAGATGATGAAGCATCCAATTCAAAACCATTCTTAGCACAAAATGCCTCGAACTCTCTGAACTTCCATAAATTAGGTTCAGGGTGCCTACTGAGTAAAGGCACAATCAGGGAATGCATTAGATATGACTTCTGCAGCTGACATATTCGCCAACAACATTAGTTCCTCAACAATGAAGCATGCATTGTTCCTCACATAGCAATAGCTATCACATGGAGCCCCATCTTCATCAAACAAGATCATAAGCTTTGCAGTGTCAAGAGAAAGAGCTCCACCCTTGAACCTAACTTCCTTCAGATTTTTTGAGACCTCATAAAGGCCTCTAAGTGACTTGATAACATCATCTCTCTCAAATTTACCATGTACTTCAAGAGAAGAAACAGCAGATCTAGCCTGACTGGCTTCATTACAAATCAAATCCTGCACAAGCTCATATGACAGCTTGCAGCACGAAAAGATGACGCTTCGACCAATCCAGCGACTAATTATGTTACCATGAGGATCAATATCCCAAATAATTGAAAAGGCAAGCCTGTCTACACCTGGATTAAGCGAAACCACTTCTGAAAGTCTTGAAGGCAACATTGAGATTTTGCGTTTCAGGGTGTAGACACTAGTAGATCGGCTTTGAGCTTCAGCATCTAACGCAGTCTCTGGATGTACAAAGTAGGAAACATCTGCGATGTGAACCCCAATACGGACAGTTCTGCCTGAAAGTATTTCAATTGATATAGCATCATCAAGATCTGATGCAGTAGGAGGGTCTATTGTAAAAGACAAGACCTCCCTCAAATCTTTTCTTGCTTCAAGTTCTTTTTGAGAAATCTTCCAACAATTGTCAGGAAGACATGCCAAGGACTCGGGGGAAAACTCAGCATCAGATATCGCATTCTCAAATAATATAGCATCCATGTGTGTTTTAACATGACCACCCTTCCCCAAGAACCGTATAACATGGGCATAGGGATAGAGATTTTCGTCATTCCATTCATCAATTCGTGCAGCAACTAATTCCTTCTCAATAGCTGCATCACCCCTTAGGCTCTGTCTGACACTATCTGGCAAAGTGCTAAAACTCACAACCATCGGAGGGAATTTGGGGTCAGTAGGCAAGAGATGAAACAAGCCTGTAACTGATGATGCTCTGTTGTTCATCCTCTTTAGACCCATCTGATTTCTCTGCTGCTCTCCATCAGGGAACTCTGAGAAAGAAGCAAGGAAACCTACAATGGCATCACGGCGCGGAGATTTCTTAATGACTGATAATACTTTCCCAGTAGGACGTCTGCTTGGATGAGAGTATATCATGGCACAGATCCTTTGTAATGCTCTCGCAGCCTCACTCTTTCCATCATTCAAGTCTATCTCATTCCTTTCAGGGACAGTAGCATTCCCATTTCCACACTTAACAGCTTGACTAAAACCACTGTTCTTGTGTGGGGGTTGCATCCTATCCAAAACAGGTAAGCCGTTACTGCAATTTTCAAACCTGCAGCCGACATCTGCATGTCCTTTCTTCCAACTATGATTCCCATTTGTTTCAGTAAACTCACGGACCACAGAATCTCCTCCTATCGCAGGGTTGCATGCAACATTCGGACCTTTCATTCTGGTCCATTGAGCAACAGGGTCCAGTGTGATAGCAACAAGATCACCTTCAACCTGCAACGTAATTCATGACATAACATGATGCTGTGAGTTCAAAATCCGTGTAGCATAAATAGGCAAAGCTAGAGAGCAGAATGGTATAGGCACTGCAAGCATTGGAACTCGACCCCTTATAACAGACCATATGGTAAGACATCAAGATAAAAAGAAGTGCATACAGACATATGCATATCACCAATAGCACTAGTTGTTTGTTTAGGAAGCATAATCTTTGTTAGGAGTACTGGTACAGAAATAGAAAAGCCTCTTGCATGCAAGAAGATAAAATTTATTGAATGAAAGGATGAAGGGAGAGCACCGCACCTGCAGCAGAACACTAAAACCCAATAAAATGGTCAATAAGGTAAAACTAGCAATGCAGTTTTGTTTGAATTATTTCCAAAAGTAAAAGCTATTGTGGTAATAATTCCGATGGTCACATGTTATTCCCAGAGAAATGCCAATTGGTGCTGGTTGCAGTACTGACTAAGTTCAACATGAAAGCACATTACCAATATAAGGTATAGCATGCTTCAACCAGCTCTGCAGGGGACAAGCTAGTCATACTTTATGTGCCTAGTGTGCAGAAGGTACGAGTTGTTTTCAGCACAAATTGAGATGCCCACTTCTACCATGACAAAACTTGATAGTTGGTGATGCTATATCACAGGAAGGAAACAGTGGCGGAGGACGGAAAAAAGTTTAAGGTATGACGAAATGGATAATATATAGATAATAAAATAATATCTTTTATTAAAATGGTTTATACACAAGACGCTGTAATATCTCTCTGATTTTGACATCGCTTTTTGCTTTTTGTTCCATTTTTTTATTAGTTTACTGTGCTTCAAAATCAACCGACCCAGTTAGCTGATAACCAAAAAACTGAACAAACAACAATGGAAAAAAGGTTCAGCTGCCAGAGTTTGGACACTTAAACGAACCGTCGAACTGCGGGCCGATCGATGGTGTCACAATATTGTATTCTATACTGGCACTGGAAGGCCAGAAACATACACGTAAGCCAGCCCACATTCCACAAGGTCCAACGGCCTAACAATTAAACAATGGCTCATCTAATCGTTTTTTACTCCTGAGTCAAGGGCGTTGCATTGCATTGCATGTCTGCGTCCATTCAGCGAATCGGTGCAAGCGTAGGTGGGGATCCGCATGGGAGCAAGGTGCGGCAAGCGCCCTACCTTGCCCTACCGGGCCCTCCGCCCCTGGAAGGAAAGACACAACAGGATAGTGCTGAATTTTGTCCTGAGTCACATTTCGTGCCAAATCTGACACCGTTTCCATTCCTCCTGATTGGGTAACTAGCGAACAAAAAACACATTCCAGGGCATGTCCAACAAAAAACACATTCCAGGGCATGCCCAACCAGTTAACAGACACACGAGCTTTAGCGCGATAGCCTGCCTTTGCACTATCCAGTACCCACTAAAACTTCCTTATGGGGCAGCTTCGTAACACCCAATAATTAGCACATCATGCATGCAGAGATGTACATACCGCTCTGTTTTGTGCCAATCCTGTAATGAGAACATCCACCGGGATGCCATCAATCGTGCAGTACGCCTGCAAAATCACACAATTCAAACGTTAGCACACAGTTGTAAGGAAACAGTACAACGTTAGTAATCAGAAGATCACCGAGCCGTGCTTGCCTCATTTCGGTTGTGAGCGTTCACCCTGAACTTCGCCACGAATGCATACCCTCTCTGTGTAGCAAACGCATCAAATCAGTGTGTCAGTTCACGCGAAATCACAACCACGAAGCCGCAAGCCTCCCATGGCTCCAGCGAATACCTTGACGGCGTCCTCCACGGCCCGCTCAGGCCAGTGAGGCTGGAAGTACCGCATCGCCGTAGCTCCCCCGCCCACCCTCGACACAGGCGCCTCCGCGGGTCTCGGCGTGGGCAGCAGGGGGCAGGACTGGCTCGTTCCCGCCGCGGACGCCTCTGCCTCGGCGTCGACACCGGCGCCGCCGCTGCCCACGTGCATGGGCGGCATCGATCTGACTGACCTCGGCCCCGCGGCGTCCGCGTGCGGGCCCTGCGGCGCGGCGACGGCCGCCTGCTTGGAGCGCCGCGAGGGGCGGCGGCGGTTCTTCCTCCTCTCTTTCTCGGCTTCCTCCGTCGCAGAGGCCGCAGCAGCAGGCGGCGGCGGCGGGGTGGGGATGGGCACCGCAGCTGTGTGCTCCCCGGTGGCCCTCATGATGCAGACCCTCTCTATCTCCTCGAAGGACACGCGGCGGGGGAACCCTAGATCTGGGGCGTCCTCCGCTTCGTCGCTCCCCGTCGACACCGATGGATAAAAAAACGAGGTGTCGGGGCGCCGGGAGAGGAGAAGGGGACTGCAAGGAAGGGATGAAAGAGAGGGAGGGAAAGAGGAGTGGAGGAGGAGCCGAGGGGGGAGGCGAAGGAGCCGAGGCCGTGGAGGGATACGTTGCTTGCGAACGGATTGGGGTGGTGGCGCTAGTATAATCGAGGGCGGCGGCTTGGTATATTGGTGTGGCTTGCGAAGGGAGTACGTGTTGGCGCCCGGGCCGGCGCTCGCGCTCGCGTAGTTGCGTTGCGGGGCGAGGACGGCATCGGGACGGAGAGTAGACACACGGATGGTCGGCGGCGGGTGGGGCTGCCCGCGCGCCGACTATTGCCTCGCTTTCCGCCTTTTCCAAGGCGCCGTCGTTTTCACGTCGTCTCACCTCCATGAGCTTCGCGCGTGCGTGCGTGGCTGCGTGCCCGTTGTCCCGGACTCTCGGTTGATCGTTGATCCTGCCTTTTCGTACGGTGCATCGGGGTATGCCGGTATGCTCTGCACCTGAGCTTGCAATTGCCTTGACAAGTTGGCAGGCTTCATGCTTGATCCGCTGGAGTATCCATAGTCATTAGCTAACTAATACTCAGTAGCGAAGTTAGAGTAAACTAGAGGATGACACACTTGTCTTATGAGTGCATAGACGTCGTTGACAAGCCCGGTGACACACACAAAAAAAAGAACTCACCGGCAAACCTTAGTGGACTAGTGTAACGATGCGGTCTTAAAAGGGATAATTGTGTTGTTACATAATTGTGTAGCCCTATAGTAGAATGAAGCGAATACTTGAAGCCTTTTCGCGAGCAGTTTAAGATCTGATTGTCAGAAAAATACCGTGTGGATGTGTGTCTGAGAGGAGGAGGGTCATCACAGTGTTTTCCTCCCCCATGAGAACCAAGTTTTTCCCTCTAATTATCATTGTTTTCTAGTATTTTGTATCACATATTGTCGATATTGAGTTTATAGAATGCACTTCTTCATTCAATTCTCTTTTCGAATACAGTCACCCATGTTATAAAAAATGAAAGTAAATAGAGGAGGAATGGAGGCGAGGGAGCTGAGGCCTGGGTCGGGGAGGGGATATGTTGCTTTGCGAAGCAGATTGGGGTGATGGGTCTAGTATAATCGAGGGCGGTTTGGTATATTGGTGTGGCTTGCGAAGGGAGTGCAAGGTGGAGTCGCAAGGATATCTACGCGGTGGAGCCGATCGTTACGTTGTGGACCCACATTCAAGACGCTGTGGGAGAACCGAACGGACGTCGTGAGTAACGAGGAATCGTCTGTGAATACGTAGATCAACACCGGAAAAGTCAGAAAAACTTAAGGCCCCGTTCGGTTTCTTTGGAACCGTTCCCTGCCGGACTAGTGCTTCACAAAATTGTATAGCATGGGAACTATTCCGGGCATGGAATGCCCCATTCCGGAAGAAACGAACGGGGCCTAAACATACATCTTCGGTAGATGAAGGGAGTAGGTGGTATCGTTTGCACAAATCAAGTCGTTTAAGGTATTTTAACCAGGTTTTGGGCGTGAATGCCCTTGTAGCTTTGGTTCCGCCCACGGCGCTTGATGAGGAGCAATAAATCGTCGCTTCCATCCTTGCCTCCGTTAGCTCGCTCGCCTCCATCGACGCAAAATTGCGCCCGCGATCCGCGCTAAAATCGCACGGCAACGAAATGCGCCAGCAGCGCCATTCTTAGCGATCCCGCTAAAATCGCGCCAAGCGCCATGCAAAGGAAACAATTGGCGCAAACGGCCAAAAAACGAGGACACCGACACGAGCACCAAAGGGGAAAAAATTGTGGCATGCAAAGGAAACAATCCGACCCTAAGGGCCTGTGCTGGAGCGAAGGAATAGAAAACAAAGGAATGGTAGGAAATACAGAGAATGAAGTTAGGATAAAGTGATAAAAGCAGAGGAATGCAAAAATACAGGAAAGTTGTAGGAAGTAGCATTTGCAACGTAGGAATGGAAAAATAATGAATTAGAAAAATTCAGGTTTAAAAAACAATCAGTGTCTAATAAAACAACATTAAAACAACCCCATCGCCCGCTGTTCCCCTTACCCACCTCCATTTTCTCTCTGCCACACGCTGACACGCACATGTGTCTTGGGCTTCTGTGAAAACTTCAAGTCGAAGTGAATGTTTTGCTTCCTGTGTTTTGTGGAGGAATGCTACCCTTTCCATAGGAACGACCAGCTCTCTTCCTGTGATCCAAACGGTAAGTGACATCATCAAACCATAGGATTCTAGTTCCTTTGAAATTCCTTTGAGGATCCTCAATTCCAAACGGGGCTTAAGAGATCCTACATTCGCGCCATGCAAAATCGAGCGGCGCACGGCAGGTCAACAAGAGAAGAGAGGGACGACGACCAGCGGCGAAGGCGTTCACGTCTTGCAATGCAGATGGCTCAGCGAGGCAGCAAAAGGTCGGCGAAGCGGCCAGCAAAGAGCATACCACGCCAAGCACATGTGGTAGCAAAGCTAGTGGCACCAATGACCCATGAGAGAGCTGCCTGCAGCAGGCAAGCGGCGTGCGTGGCAAAGCGAGGTGGGCGGCAGCGAGGCCAAGCGTGGCAGCAGGCGTGAGGTTGGCGCTCGGCCGAGGCAGCGTGTGAGCAGCCAGCGTCAGCCCGATGGCAGGGATGCGGTGACCGCGCACCAGGGCCAGCAGGCCGACACAGAATTAGCGCATGATTTTTAAAGCAAGCGAAAGACAAAATTTTTCTTTGGTTGAGATTGAACCAAAGGCACCATGCTCTAGTCGACGTCTAGGGATACTTAGAGAAACAAAAATCACATCTAGAGATTGACCAGGGAAGGAGATAGGGAGGTGCCAAGCTGGCCATGTCAGCCTGCGTTCCAGAGCAACAACAGAGATGAAAAAAGGATGTTTTTAGCATTATTTAGCGAATTTTTTAATGCCCAAAACGAGTTCTAACATGACCAACTACCAGTCTAAGCTAAAGAACTCAGCTTGGACCAAACCACAGAGCAAGAACATACCACTTTTATTTAGCAAAAATCTGCAGAACAAGGTTGCCAAAATGGTAGTGTCTGCAGTTTGCGAGACTTAGAATTTTTTATAAGAAAAAGGCTGAGTTGAAGTTTTAAATTCAATTTTTGGGCAACTAAATACACTAGCAAGCAACATATAACTTCATTAATAAAAGTTGCATTATCATCTACCCAACTTGTACTCTAATTTATATAAACACTCAACACAAGTTATATATTATTTTTGCTCTATAAAAATTGTTTTCCAAGGTTAATCAATATTAAGAGAGCATTACTCTATCATTTGCTAGAAATTTTTAGGTGACATTTTTGGTGCAATTACAACTTAAACCACACCACCAGAAGCAATGAAGGATGATTATGATGCTCATGACATGATTAGGCATTTTAATTAGGGCTTAACACCGAGGGTGTTACAATCACCCAAGATGGGGGCTAGGTAGTAGCAATGGATAAGTAAATTGGGATCCTAGCATAAGCTTAGTTATGAGGAGGAGATGACCATCGTAGTATTGTCGTCAATCTATGTGACTGAACTGACTAATGGTGGGTCTTACAGGGCATGTGCACTGTCCAGGGATTTCAAGTGTTTGCATGGGAATTTGACAATTTGAAGCGATCTGAATATATGCTCCTCTTCGCATCTCATTGGCGTCATGTGGCACTTTATCATATTTGTAGCGAGGTATGTTGCATCTTCCGAATACTACAGAATGATCTAAACAGGGACATTGTCTTGTTTAATGGGGATAAAAATGATTGTTACAAGGTCGTTCGCATATAGTTTTAAATCCACTGCTTGATCCAAAGGCCACCCAATTGAGCAAACAATCCCAACTGGTCAAGCAGCTGGATCATGCCAATGATGTACTCCATATCAAGGAGGAACGACATTCCGGATCAGATAGTGGGTCACCTTGCCTCAAACCACGACCATGACATGATGATAACTTAAAGATGCAGTATCAACAAGGAAACAACTAGTCAAATACACCGCAACAGATCAACTGAGAGTGCGTTACAACTTAAACTAAATCGAATGATTAATTGAGAGTGCGTTACAACTTAAACTAGACCAAATGATCACTGAGAGTGCATTAGAACAACTAATAAGCTGAATGATTCCTAAAAGGTATCGACTACAAGTCTACTAATAGTTAATAGTTGAAAGCAACCGATCTCCAACCAGGTCAAGGACACTACCATCCAACTAGCAACGGCAACCCGACAGGCCACATGAGCACCAAAGACCACAGAAGCATCAGAGGCCTCATGAGCACACATCAATTGATCAAAAACTCAGAGTCTACGACAGTTTTGATGATGAACATCTTCTCGCGATAATAATCGAATGCAAATTGAACAGTGGGTGGAATCCCTTGTGATGCGTTGATGACCTGCATACAAGGCCTCATAGACGCAGCAAACGTACCCACAGCTTCTGATACATTGTTGACGGCTGGTATTACACCTTCGTCTTCATCTCTTCCTCTAACAATTTGTCTCTAAGAGCCATCTCAATGGCTTCAAGAGCATATGTGCCTACATGCTGCGAACAGAGTCGGATACTGTGCGAGCACCCCTATTGCACATGTCTCAACAGCTGCAACATTTTCGGTCGTCCCTTAGTTGCAATGTTTTAAAAAGCGGGCTATGATATTTAGCGGTGACCTTCAAAAGCTATAGAAAGCTATAACGGCCTGTAGCGGAAGCTATTCATTTTTCATTTTTTAGAAAACATGAAAATTATTAATAAATTATGCACAAAAACATTTAACTAGACAAACAATTTATGAATAAATACTCAAATACATATAGAATATTTGGGGGAATATGTTTTTAAGTCTGTTATATTGGAACCGGCGGTTCTAAACAAG